GTATATATACTTTAAATGAACTAATAAATCCTATAGGATATTATACCTGCATATATGAGTATTTTGTACCACAAGAAAACGAGACCCTATTTATTCTGTATAGGGTTTAGGGTTTAGGGTTTCTGTGCATGACCGACTGTATAACACTCGAAGAGGCTGCCCCAAATTCTTGAGTCAAGGCTCTCATAAAAAAATTGCCCGGGTTCCCTTGCACATACGAGCCCATCAGTTGGGCAATCCAAAAAATGAAGTAGCGGGCAGCAGTCGCGCTCAGCAGTTTCTGTGAGATGCTTGTATATTCCCGGGCCAGCGGTTTCAAGATAGCAGCTGTGAACAGTTTCCGAGCTGCTCGATCGGGAGCACCTTGCTCATCACACCATGTTTTGTAGTTGTCCCAAAGCCGGCTGAGATCTTGATCTCGAGTTCGTCCATCCGTCAGATCACACAGCAGGCTGCATATCACGTCTGGGTACACCGCGAGATGTAGAAGATGCATTGTGTCCGGATAAATCCCTCAAGGGGAGCTTATATTCTAAAATCTTAGCTCTCGGCTCTCGGAAACGTATATAAAAATTTGGGGGGTGCCGATCAACAACTTGAGGCTTGCATTACTGTATTGTAAAAAACTCTAGAATTAATTTTGCTGAAGATTGGCAACAAGTCGCGCCATGGGCAGAATCCGCTAATCCTTGTCAGCGGAGTTGCCCCATGGATGGGGACGAAATCAGAAGTGCCTCCAGCGATGAGCCTTTGCTTCAAAACTTGGGTTGTGTTGAAAGTATTGCTTTCGGGTTTAGATATCTAGAATATAGTCTTTACATTATAGATTATATAAGCTGAGCAGCGTTGTCCGGTGAAGAGCTTGTTCTCCAAAATTTGTAAAAAGCAGGGCTGAATTATTCGGGAGGCCATCAGGGTCCGAGCCGCTGTACGTCCTCTGCAAAGCGCTGCAGTAGAAGCACATCATCTTGCGGGAATAATCGCCTGCGTGCCCGTGCATGTGCATATAATTTTAGCAATGCATGTTGAGTCTCATACTAGAATAGGCCAGGGCACGTTGGAGGTACAGCACCCTTTTCACAAACTCAAGGTCGGCTTGAAGCCCATCATAAATTCCTCGCATGTTGTCAGCAGTCAAGGGCTCATTCGCGAGTTTGTACCGATCCGGAAAGTAGGATCCATTGAAGAGGCGGCCGTAAGGGTCCCGATCCGGATGTCGGCCCGTTCCTTGTGTGCAGTTTGTTTGGCTGCGTTTGTCGGTGGTAAACACAGTATTTGAGGTTTAGGCTTAATAGGGTTTAGGGTACTTAGGATTTAGAAATAAGAACGTATACTGGTGATTTTAATCAAGACCAGCATGGAGCGATCATCCTGTTTAAGCTGAGTTGCCCATGGCCTCAAGTGACCAAGCCAGCAGCTCCAGGATTTGATACCGTGCGGAGTCGTCATGATAATTCATATTAATGCACGATAGCCTGAATGGGCCCAAACCGTCACAACTTATAAGATTCAGCTATGTGTACATGGAATGACATTGCACATTAATTGTTCTCGCCAAGCAACAAGAATCGTGAATCCATTGTGCTGGCCACCCCCAGCGGGGCAAGCAGGACGAACAACTCGAATTTCTGCTTTTCTTAGCTGCACATAAGAGTATTAGCATAATACAGAACTGTTTGGCATTATAGGGATCGTGACATGTAGCACATAAGTTGCAATACCATGCGGCTCGTAAACTCGGCCCCATCGCCGTACAGTCTGAGCGGCACACACGTGCCGAGATCTTCAACAGCCTGAGAAATTCTACACATAGCTGCGATATGAACAACAGTGCACATGCAGATCTGATGCCAGCAAGAAACACTGAGGATGGGATGATTCTGCATCCACTGCTGATCTTGAAGGGCCCAATATGATCGAATCTTGGCTTTGTCCAGATTCTCAGGACATGTTCAAAACTCAGAACCATTATATAGCCCAGCCACTGAGTCCTTGTCCGGGTACAGCAGATGTGACTTCCCACTTTTGTGAAGCGTCGAGAATATTTCATGAGGTAATAAGACGTGGTGTTTGACAGTTCGCGTAGTCCGGCCTTGGGTGTTTGCATTCACCTGAGGCAATTTATATACCACTGCACCACGACATCAAGATCTTCAGTCGCTCGGCAAAATCTTGCAGATGAGAGGCAGCCGTAAGTTGAAGCCTAGCTCGAGATCATGATCGTGGGTTGTCGAGGCTGCCGACTGTAGAGTTGCACTAGATCTAAATGCAGCAGTGGCTCGGAAACGATTTCGGAAGGGCCTTGCGCCATGGTTGGCGGTCGAACCACCTTTCCAGAAGTCTCATGCCACCCCATGAATTGGGGTTCTCATTGCGGAAGCTGACAGCAAGGTCCAGGATATCCGGCCTGATGTCAACGATGTTTAAACATCTGGTCATGGTGCGACACATGTACCCCAAAAACTCTTGAATGATTTTGCAGATAAGTATCGGAACCATGTTGTGTGGTAGCCCATGAACTCGTCGTAGGGATTCGGCCAGCTCGGCCAGGGGTATCTGGAACATAAGCATCTTTATATGCAGTAGCAAGCAAAACTCGAGATGGAGGGTTCGCCTGTCCATCGGACAGAAGACGAAGGACTTGCCCGCAAGAATCTTCCACATAGGATCGCAGCCATGCTGCATGATCGGCAGTTGGCTCTTCGAGCTGCATGGGTGTTTGACATGGCACAGCATTGCTAATTAGAAATTAAAAAAGAGTACATATACATAGTATATATAGGTATATAGAGATGTTCGGGAGTCTAATGTCTAAAGTTTAGAGCAGACATATAATGGCTTGAAGGACAAGTCTACAAATCCTGATCCAAGTAGAACTTATACAGTCCAGTCCAAGTACATGCTCAGGGCTTAGGCTTAGGGCTTTTTTTTTTATCGGGGTTTGGGTTTGAGGTTTTCGAAGTTAGGGTCCTTAGGGGTTCGGGCTTCAGATTTCTACATTGGGTTTGCACACACTACCACTTTGACTAGATGTTAGATAATTTCAAGGAACAATATATCTACGGTCTACGGTAGCCTCGACCAGTCCTTCTAGTTGGAATCGGCACACTCCAATGATTTTGGGATTCAGGTCTTAATTGTTCGGGTTGTTCTTCAAACACATGTAAATATACAGATTGGTCCTGAATCAACGGGACAATCCAAGCATCGATCCAAGGCACTGATAAAATGGAGATCTATCGATCCTGGATGACTGCATGCTGGGCTGTGGCGCTTGACGTGGAGGCAGTTCCTTTCACCGTTGCTTCTTCAGCAGGTTGGCAGTTGCTGCACATGCAGGCAGAGCCAATCGAGTGCTGTTGCCCCAAAGTGGATTCTATACCCAAGCCAGGCTACAGGTGTATATTTAGAGTCATAGCTACTGCCAGCTTGTAACATGAAGATGAGTTCACAACCTCGGCACTCTGAAGGCTGCAGGCATGTGGATCCTACCCAGGAAAACCTAAAAACAGCGATCACGGCTTTGCTCGCTTCGCTGCCGGCTCCACAGTTTCACCATCATCTGGCCATTCATCCTCCTCCTGTTCCTCCTCTTCATCTCCGCCCATGTAGTACTCATCTCCACCCATCCGACAGGTTGCCGCCTCCTCCTGATCTGTCGACTTATCCTTTTTCTTCTCTTCTTTCTCTCGTTTGCGCTTCTCGGCGGCGATGCCTTGCGTGAGCAAACACAGAAACCAAAAAGACAAAAAAACACATAACAAACACACTCATCACAAAGCCAAGCTCCAATACATTAATTAGATGCAGAGGGAATGCGGCGTTGGTTGGCGACCAAGATGTCATCGCCCTCTGTGATCGTCATTTGGTATCCCTGCAGCAACGAGTAAATATGCATTGTTTAAATTAGACTTGTAATCGTAGCACCAGCTCAGTATACATCTTGCCTCAAGAGCACCCTTGTAGCTCTCCAAGTGCTGCACGCACTCCGTCTGGCTGTAGCATTCGAACACCATCTTTTGGACCCTCAGTTGAGATTTTCTATGCCCGTATATATCATCCCACGACGATCGATAAAGCTCCAACTAAAGACCGACCTTAATTCGTTTAAGTTGAAGACGAGCAGCTCCGAATGAATCTTCAAGCATTCGTTGGATACCACTCCCAGCTTGCCGATCAGTTTCTGCGGGGGCTTTATTTGTGGGCTACATATTCCAGGGTCTGGGCTGGGTTTAGGGTTTAGGGTTCAGGGTTTAGGGTTTAGGGTTTGACGGTGTCCTCTGGTACTATACACCAAAAACGACAAGGGTCCTCTTGGCTCTGCAAGCCAGCTGCGGTCAGGCCGGATGCCACATGGACCGCTTTATCCGATAGGCTCCGCACCCTTGGCTGCACATGGTTTGGGAACGGCGGTGCGGGGTACATTTATAGGGTTTTGGTTTTTTTCTTGGGGCCCATGGGGTTTGGAAAGTAGGGGGTTTGGGAGTTTGGGGTCATATAATATAAATGTAGTGAACGGGTACGAGTTCGGAGGGCTTTGGGGTTCAAGGTTCATAATTGGCTTGCGTATAGGCTTAGAACTTTGGGGCTTTCGGAGTTTTATTTGGTTGCATACTAAGAAATAGTGGGTTGTGCCGGGCGTCGCAGTCAGGTCCCTCTGGAACTCGCGCTTTTCCTTCTCTTCCGGCGTAGGCTCCTGCATTAATTATATAATGCTGTTGCACTATAGCTATGTTTGCATTGCAGACTGATGAAGGCATCCTTCTTCTCTTTCTTTTCCTTTGGTATTTTCTTCTCTTTCGTTTCCAAAGAACTCTTGCCCATGTTCCCCACTTTGCCCTCCAACACTTCTGCAACCGCTTGTCTCTCGGCTCTGTTGTTGGAGATCTGCTGCGTAGCCGAAAGCCGGTTCCCGACCCGACTTATGGATCCACCTTGGATAAGAGCGGTTAGGCTTCCTGTAGGATATATGCGTCACTGATACCAGCATGATGCTAACCTTATATTATAATATATGCAACCAAGATGCTCGAAATTTCCATTTCTTTGAACACACGATAGATCCGCCAGTTCGCGTCCGACGTTTGGGGGTGCTTCTTTCCAGTCTGGCCTCGCGTGCATCAGAAGAACATAGCATTCCGATAAAGAGTACAACCAAAGTCTGAGACTCCAGCTGGCTTGGATGTCCTTCACAAACTGCTCCCCACCAGGCAGCTTGCCCCATCTTTCCATAATCTCACACAGCGGCAACTCGATGAATTTCTCTTTGTCTTTCGACTCGCTCATCCTGATCGCTGCAAAGCACAATTGAGTCCAGCATGTGTCTTATGCATATATAGAAGCACCCAGCAAATCAGATGCAGGCAAAGCTCTCTTCGTAATAAGCATCAACTTGGATGCTTCCCATCTCCTTGTCCAGCAAAAACGCCTTCAAGAAGGCGAACCTCGCAGCTCATATGTCGCACCCAATTATATAGTATGTGAACAGGCATAGCCTATGGCCCCATCGCATCTGAGGACGGAGCTTCTCCATGGGGCTGGTGGCAGCGTTCCACTGCTGCACCAGGCCTTTCTTTAGTCCTGTCGGGTTTGTGAGTTTAGGGTTTACAGTAGAGCAGGTGTGGTTCAATTGTTGCAAATTAATGCAGCCAATGGCTCCTTTCGGATTGTTCATGCGACGTCGCAGGCCCTCGTTGAGCCTGATAGGGGATCGTTTGTGATTTCGGAGTAAAAGCTTGATGGTTTCATTCATGTTATTGGTTTTAGAGTTTGGCTTAAGTTCAGGGATTTAAGAAATAGGTTTTGGTAATTACGACCAAGGCCTCTTTCGCTCCTGCAGATCAATGTCTTCCGGGCCACTGAGTGCCTCAGCAGGTAATATCATTGTGCACGGTACATACATGGTAAATGATCATATACTACTACATCGTGAAACAATCTGGAGGCGGCGAGAATATAATCAAGAGAGCAAAGAGAGAATTTCATTCGATGTAGGATCTACAAAAACCACAGGACAGTGTGCAGTAATAGAAATAGTCCCAGAAATGCGTGTGGATAATAAAACAGCTTCTTGTGATGTGCAATCGTTTTAATCCAACTAATATTCATAATAAACCTTATAGTAACCCAAACCACGAGTACAAAGAATTACAAAATAGAGGATATGGTATGTGGCACATGGTATATAATCCTTAATATGGACTGTATACCGGTTTAGGGTTTAGGGTTCAGGGTTTAGGGTTTAGGGTTGGGGGTTTAGGGTTTAGGGTCTAAGGTTTAAGGGTTTAGGGTCTAGGGTTTAGGGTTTAGGGAGCCTGTAATAATGTACATAGGAGCTGTGGATAGGGTTTCGGGGCTTAGGGCGTTCCAGCCGTTGACATGGATCCTAAGTCCTATATATAAAGATTTTATAGTAGCCAGAAAGAGTTTAGGGTTTATAGGTGTCAAGGTTATAGCCATGATTTCAGGATCTAGGTCTGAGGGCTTTGAGTTTAACTGATATAGTGTGCTTATAAATTACCTGCAGGAAAGCTGCTTCAATGGCTGATTTCTCCTCTTCGGTCAATCGTCGCACCTGGGGCTGGAATATATGTTGCACTGTATATATATATATATATAAGTGCTAACCTATCGAGTCCAAGAAGCATCATTGGGGCTGCCATTGAATGTAAACTTCTTGGTGAGCGGTTCGATCTCCATGGGCCCCGTACCATCGCTGCTCTGGGAGATTCCCGTATCACTTCGGAGTATACCCCTTAGATATCCAGGTGTAATTTGCGAATCCGATGTAGTGCACAAACACACTTGATTGTTGCAGCTCCATGCATTGTAAAAGCCAAGGCTCTTCTTAGGATGTCCAGGTGACGGGGTTCCTATCGGGATTAATTTAAGTTTGTTCGGTGTGTGGCGGTTTCTGTACAAACATATACACCTCCCCCCCCACCCCCACCCCCACCCCCACCCCTCGACCGCCCGCCACTTCCCACAACCCCCCCACCTCCCCCCACCCACTCCCCCGGCCCACGCCCCCTCCCCCCACCTCACCCCTCCCGTCCCCTCCCTCCTCGAGCCGGCCGTCGTTCCGAGCCCTGCCACTTTTTTCTTTCCAAACATGGGGTAGGGCCTTGGCGGTAGCGCTCGCCAATTTTTTTCGAGCCTGTTCCTTCCCCCCCTCACCCCCCCCACCCCCCC